TCCTGATTCTGTTCTCAGCCCAGCAGCCAGACTGACCCCATGGCCTGAGGGCTCTCCCTTGAGGAGTATCTCTCAAAGGAAGCCACTAAGGAATTTTTCTCTTTGGCCATGACCTTCCAGGACTCAGCATCCACAGAATGAGAACAGTGTCTGCAGTGGACTAAGGACAGTGGTTGCTGGAATAGTTCTTGCTTTAAGCAGGTGTCCTCACCTTCTGATTGGTCAGCTCTCTCACTGCCCATGGACACCCCTGAGGTCTACAAGACAGGGCCCTGGAAGCTTGAGGTGACTCCTAGGCTACTAAGAGGCACTCTGATAGAATCAGGGGACTCAACCAGCCATGGCCAGAAGCTCCAAAAGGTACAATCAGATGTGTGGGAAGAAACCCTTAATTGCTCATGGAGCTCAGGTGGTCACAGGGAACATCACTGGGGAGCTGTGTTGTCCTGTTGTCCTGTGACACATATTCTATTCCTCCCGGGATTTTGCACACCTCATTGTGCATTTATGAACTTAAAGTGACTGGAAATGGCTTAATAAATGAATGAAGGTTTGGTGATCAGTACATGTGTTCTGTGAGGTCGGCAATTTGGACTATGCTGAGTTCTCTGACGTACAGGGGTGCAGCATGCTATAGCACTTCACTGATACTATAGTTTTTAATTTTAACACTCACCTGAGGGTTGTTCTTACTGATTTTACAGAGAGGGGAAGGCAGAGAGAGAGAGAGAGAGAGAGAGAGAGAGAGAGAGAGAGAGACATTGGTGTGAGAGAAACATTGACCGGTTGCCTCATGTACCCGCCCCAAACAGAAATTGAACCTGCAAGCCAGGCGCATGCTCTTACCAGAGATCAAACCCAGAACCTTTTGGTGTGTGGGTGACGCTCCAGCCGAGCCCCCCCGCCAGGCTGTGTTTGTTTTACAACTGAAGGTAAGATTTCCCAGCAGCAAAAAGATGACAACTAATTAGAGGCTCAGATGATTGTTAGTATTTTTATTAACAAGAACGTGCATTTTAATAAAGGCATGTTCATTACCTTTTAGACAACAATATTGAACCCATAATAGACTACAGTACAGCATAAGCTTAACATTTATATTCATGAGGAAACCAAAAATGTTGCGTGACTCACTTCAGTGGGATATTTGCTTTATTGCGGTGGTTTGGACTTGAACCAGAAACATCTCCAAGGTATGACTGTATTCCAGGTGTAAAGATGGTGTGTTATTTACCTCGTACTCAAAAACTACAAGTTGAGAGACCCATCCCTGTAGGACACCTCCCTATTGTAGTGACAGTGTCTTTATTGATGTCGTCCCAGCCCCCACCTGTGCTGTGGCAGCCACAGCACAACCTGCAGTCATGCTGCCATTGATGCTCCCGCACATCCCCACAGTGCTGCCCCCCCAAACCTTCAGGGGCCTCTGCTCTCTGAATCCCCAGGTTTGTACTGGGGCCCCCACTAAAGTGAATGGCCAGGGGAGACGGCGGCCGAGCAGAGCAGAATCGCAGTAGGAACATGTCTGAGATGAGACATTACAGGCCCCCTGCTCTCTGCTGATTCCAGAACCCGGTTCCCTGGAGGAGGCTGGGAAAAGGTGAGAGAACAATCACACCCAGGGAGGTAAGAGCAGGATGCGTCTGAAAATTCCCTCTCGACACCACAGATTCCTGAGTGCAGGGGCCACTCTAGTCATGTGGGGACAATGACAGACAAAATGCCTCCTGTTGCTGTCAGATGGGGGCACCCAGAGTGACGCAGACACTGGCCCACAGTGTCGTGGCGTCATGGATGAGACATGAGATAAATTCACACAGACTACCGAGTCCAGTGGAGGAAAAGGGACCGTATGGCTACCCTCTCAAGGGGAGAGCACCCCGATCCTTTTCTTCACAGGGTTTTTACCGGCTTTTAAATTGCACAGGAATACAGGTAAAGTTCATTAGTCATTGTCAGGCAGTAAGGATCAAACGAATAGATAACGTTCAAAGAGCTAAAAAGGGCTCACACTGAGTTGGGGTCTTATCACCTAAAAAACTACAGGACTTAGTTTTTCTAAGGGGCTAAATTCATTTCTTGCCCAGGCCTTCATAATCTAATTAAGAGCATCCTCAGAAAAGCAGGCTTCACAGGATTTTACATATCCTTTTTATTTCAGGTCTCATCACCCCAGGAATCCTGCCGTTCCCAGCACAGGGCTGCACCACCCCTTGTCATCATTACAGGCTTGAGTCAGGCAGAGGAGACAAGGCAGTGAGAGGTTTGAGATTCTCCCAGACAGAATGACGACTCAGGCTTTGTCAAAGCCAAGGGACAGGGGTCGATCACCCCCATTTTCCACAGCCCCCTGAGTCCTTCCCTGAGGGCTTTCCCATGTGATCGTGCCTGTCTTAAGTTCATCTTCCTCCGAGGAATGTTACCCGTCATTGGCTAACCGACCAAGCAATGGGGGCCAGGCAAGGAGCAGGCAGTGCTCCTGCCAGGGAGATAAGATTGTCTCCTCAGTGTCTCCTGGTCCAGAGGTCTTTCACTCAGCCTTAGCCATGGGGGGATCACAGCTCCCGAAACCAGGCAGGGCAGTTCCCAACATCTCCCTGTTTTTTTGTTTTTTTTTTTAAAATCAATTGTTGTTGTTAAGCCTGTGAAACCTACTATTTTCTGTTTTTGAATGCTATCACAAGAAAACAACTTCCATATGCATCATAAAGCACAAATAAGGATTAAGACAAGAAGGAACCTGAGGGCTGCCAAGACCCAAACTCCTAAATTCAGTCCATTGAAAAATGTTGCAAATGCAAGGGAATGATAAGAGTAACAGGTATGGTTACACCTCAGTGTTTGGGAGAACTAGCACAGACTTTAGGAAGTTACTTTAAAGATCTGCAGCAAGGGCTTGCAGCCTGAACTCAGGGTGAGAGAGTTTTAGCAAGGGAAAGTCACAAAGCAGCCTAGGCATAATGCAGGCCTGATTTCCCATTGGAGAACCTTTTCACATGTGTTGTCCTGTGTGCTGACTCACCCCCCACTGGTTCTCCTTGTGGGTGCTGGGCCACATTTCCACATCTGGCAAAGCAGCTCTCCCCCCTTGCTTTTAGTTAGGACTGCTATAGGTCCCACAAAGGTTGCTACTTGCTGGTCTCTTATATGACCCTGGGAAAATAATTTGCAAATGCAGTAAAGTACACAAAGTATTATTATAATCAGTAAACAACTGGTGGCTCCAAAGACCCATATTCTCAGATTAAGTCCGTCAAACCAATTTGTTTGGGGTTTCAGCCAGCTGAAATGATCACAGAGGGTCTAAAAACCCTCCTGCTTGGTTAGATGTTGAATGTCTCTCAGCTGCTGATGTAGCTCTAGCTGAAATTTATGAATTTGTCCCTTTAAGTTGGTAGAAAAAGTCTCTCTTAGGTGATGAGTATTGCTCCAGGAGTGCTGGCTGGAATTCCACTTCAGGGGGGTGACACAGCTTGGAGATGTCTGAATTGGGGGACTCCAGTGGGTGGAGGTGAATCACATGGCCAAGGAAGCCTTTTTTTGTGATATGGCTTCACTGTCTTCCCCGGCAGTTCCAAAAGTCCTTCTGGAGAGTAAACACAAGCATACCCTCTTCCCCAAGTTAAGAGGTGAGCCAGTTCTACAATTGCCTGACCTGTTGGATTGTAAGGTATTCCTGTTTTTATGTTGGATATTCTAATGCTAAAGAAAAACCTGAATAGGCAAGGTATCCAGGGCCATTATCAGTTTTAATTAGCTGAGGCCATCCTAAATGACTAAAGGCCTCAAGCCAATGAGGCTTGTATATTTTTTTGCAGATTCTCCTGTTAAAGCAGATGCATGCATGGAGCCAGAATAAGTAGCAATGAATATAGTTGAATTTTCCAGAGGGAATATAATGAGTGACATCTGTTTGCCAAATTATTTGAGAACTTAGTCCTTGAGGATTAACTCCTGTAAATGGGGGTCCCTTGCTAAGGGCTTGGCAATCAGGATATACTTTAATAGTTTGCTTAGTTTGGAAAGACAGGCCCCCTGCTGTTTCTGAAAGCTGCAATGAGTTTTAAGAAGCAAGTTGTTCTCACTACTAGGTGGTTTCTAGGTTCAGAGTTTTCAAGGAAAGTAAGAAAGATGGAGGAGGGGGCTGCTCTACTGAAATCTATTTTAGACAAAAATGGTTACATGCCAAGGGCCTTTTGTGACTTGGTTGACTAACCGTTTCCTCCAGGAGAATAGCCAGTTCTTCCCCAAGGAAACAATCAGCATTTACAGGTACTGAGTTAAAAAATAATACCTAGTCTTCTGTGGAGAAGAGCTAGTTCTCCCCAGAGATAGCACACCTATATTTCATTTTTTTATAATAAAGGTCACAGCTCTGACATAAACAAGGAGGATTCTTAATATTTCTTTAACACGTCACACCCCCATTGCACTTAATGCATGCTTTAGGATTGACAAACTCATGAACACATTCATAACTTTTAGAAAGTTTTTTCTCCACTGGCAAGTACATTTACTTTTGTTGTTGTTAATTCTTATTGATTACTGCATTCCTTGAGTGTGCTCAGAAGTGAGCTATCAAGACTATACTCTCAGGGATCATTTCTATAGTTCGTTACTAGAGAAGTTTCTCTGAACATGTAGAGCACCAGAAGTGAGCTATCTCATTATCTAGTGCCATTGACAACTTTAGGAAGGCAGGGGAAGAGGGAGAGAGGATGCTAAGCTCCACACACCTTGTTTTTAGGACTACAGCAGTCTCTGGGCCTCCATAAGGAGGATTCAGAATGGTTAAAAGACACATTTTCTCATTATTTTTCTTCCGACAATTTTTACTGTCTGAGGGAAGTGAGATCTTTTCCTTCTTTAAACAATCAATTTAAATTCTGAGTAGAATCCTTATGATGTAACAACATTAGAAATCTTACTCTATTTACCAGACATTTAGCAAAATATTTTGAAACCGAGCTGTTACTTTCAAAACAAAAACAAAAACAAAATTCAAGCAAAGCAATACTTTTATTTAAATTCTTTTTTTCTTTTTAAGATTTTATTTATTTATTTTTAGGGAGGGAAGGAAAGGAGACAGATAGAGAGAGAGGGAGAGAGAGAGAGAGAAACATCAATGTGCGGTTGCTGGGAGTTATGGCCTGCAACCCAGGAATGTACCCTGGCTGGGAATCGAACCTGGGACACTTTGGTTCCCAGCCCCCACTCAATCCACTGAGCTATGCCAGCCAGGGTTATTTAAATTCTTTAGAAAAGGAAGTGAGACATTAACTTTAGAATCTTATCCCACACCACCTGGTGTTATTTCAACTTCTGTCCAACTTTTTCCTAAATAACTTAATCTAAAGATCCTTTATCAGGGAGACCTTCAGCAGCCCCCAAAAAGCTGCTGAGCTAACTTAAACCATTGCTCTTGTTCCTTAAAGAGCTCATTCCCCATGGTTGAGGATTCTTAGAAACCTTTAAAGAAATTCCTTAATAAATAAAAGAACTTTTTCTGAAATTCTTTTCACCACAGGCACAGCAATTCTTGTAAATAGCCCTGTAACTAGTTGCCGTTCTTAAGGCTGATTAAAGGGAAAGTCTTTGCTCTTTCTCCCAAGCCTAGACCTAGTCACAAATGGGAGAGGGAGCAAGGCTCCTGCTTACTAAAGAAGGTACAGTTGCAAAGTGGTCACAAGAGAGGGTGACCTAGGAAGAAAACTCTTTTCCTCTGAAATCCAACACACCCTACAATATTCCCGAAAGGTGCTTGGGATCATTGGCCCTTACCTGGGCTAATGTGTTTGTACTGCTACCAAGTTGGTGTGTTGTCCATAACAACGGCTCATAGACTCTGGGTCAAAGCAGGTCCCAAATCCTGAGGTCCCTGTTCTGGGTGCCAGCTGACACACTGGCCTGAGGAGAATGAGATGAGAAGAACTACTGAGCTACAGGAAAACACAGAATACTGCCCTCTGTAACAACATGGATGGACCTGGAGAATATCATGCTTGGTAACCTGGTCAGAAAAAGCTGAGAACCCTATGATGTCACTCACACGTGGGACATAAACCTGAAACTCATGGACACAGACAGTAGTGTGGTGAATCCCAGAGGGAAGGGGGTTGGGGGAGGAGGGACCTTGTATCTGGTGAGGGAAGATGGTTTGACTCTGGGTGGTGGGTGCACAGTGCAACGTACAGATCCTGTATTGTAGAAATGTGCACCTGAAACCTACACGATCCACTTAACCAATGCATCCCAACACATTTAATAAAAAGACACACCCTTATTGTTTAATATAAATACTCCAATAACTTATTTTAAAATAGTCAGAAAAGGTACAATATCTACAAAAATAAAGCACAAGTACTAATAGATATGGGCTGCAGCACAGACCCAGGCCTGAGCCCAGGCTGACATGGCCACAGGAAGCCCTCACTGAGCACAGTCATGGAGCCAGGACAAGGCCTGGGTGACCCTCAAGTCCCTGGGGTCCCAGGTCCTGGTGGCACAAGGTTCTCCTGAAGCAACAAGGACAAAGGAGCAACAGAGATGACCTAGATGAGGAATGAGCAGGATGAGGATGGTCTCACACCAACTCTACTAGGACAGGACAGTCCACAGGGGAGAGGACACAGGTCCCTGTAGGGAGGGTGGCCTGGTGACCACCTCCTCACATGATGCTGATAAGAACACAGACACATTCTGATGTTGGTTGCAGAAACAGCAGTCAGGGATCCTTAAAGTCCCAAGGGGAGGCTGCAATGACTGTTTTAAGACCAAGTCCCCTATAAGGCAGCTCTGAACACTGGGAAAGTTGTGATGAACAAACTCAGGTCAGCCTCAGAAGTGTCACATTCTCCCACAGCCCAACACATGCTCATTATATCCCACTCTGAGAATCCCCAATACACAGCTGTGTCCCTCAGTCCCAATGCCCCCCCTTCCTGCCCTCAGGGTCTTACCCTTGGGAGCTGTGAGAGACACATCAGAGCCCTGGGCACTGTCACTGCCTGGGGGAGACACAACAGCAGAGTTACAGAGTGGGGGAACCCCCCTCACAGATCTAGCCCACACTCTCCCAAGGGTCCCAGATGTCACCTCCCCAACACACAGACTTACAGGCAGCCTGAGTGTAGCTTTTCCTTTCTCTGCCTGGGGAAAGAAAACGTTCTATGAGAAGTCAGGGGCAAGGCTGGGTCCTGTGACCCTAAAGGAGCCCCACACTCCTGAAGGGTAGGGAAGGTTCCAGAACTATGACTGAACACCAGGGTAGGATCAAGAAATATAGGGACAGTACATGTGCAAGTACTGGACCAACCACCAGTCTAGACATGTGTCCTCAGCAGGGAACTTTCCCTGTGACCTCTGACAGCTGGGAATCAGCCCCAATTGCTAGAATCATCAGGTGATAAATGTGTCCCTCACTTTCCCATCAGCCTCATTGAAGAGTCAGTGTTAGCAAATAGGCCCCGATGGACAAGCACTCGTGTGGGGATATGATGCCCATTAAGGAGGAGGAGCACACTTCCAGCTGGGCTTGACCCCCAGAGGGACAGGAAACTCAGCCCCACCCCTTGCCCACCTGAGCTCTTCCTCCTCCACAGCACAGCTGCAGCGATCACAGCTCCAAGGAGACACAGGGCAGCAGCAATTCCCACGATGGTGATGGTGGTCTGAGGAGCGGGGTCTGTGAGGGGAAGGTGAGAGGTCAACCTCAGGCCTGAGTTCTGACCCTGCTCAGAGACAACCTGAGGAGAGGCTCTGTGCCCACACCCCCTCCTCACCCCATCTCAGGGTCAGGGGCTCAGGCAGCCCCTGGTGCTGCACATGGCATGTGTATCTCTGCTCCTGTCCAGGGGGCACGACCACAGCTGCCCACTTCTGGAAGGTCCCGTCCCCCGCAGGCCTGGTCTCCACAAACTCCATGTCCTGGGTCAGGTCCTCCCCATCACGCTGCCAGGTCAGGGTGATGTCCGCAGGGTAGAAGCCCAGGGCCCAGCACCTCAGGGTGACCTCTTGGTCAGAGATGGGGTGGTGGGTCACGTGTGTCTTTGGTGGGTCTGAAGGGAGGGTGAGAAAATTCAGGAACTTTGCATGGTCATGGGACACTCTAGCAGTGCTCATGTGACCACCCTGAGAGTGGACAGGACAGCTAGGGTAGGGGAAGGGAGAGCAACACCCAGTCACCAGCCTGGACAGAGGCAGCCGGGATAATCTATATCTGGAAAGTTCCAGAATCAGACTGAGTATCTAGGGTAAGAGTGTCCAGGTCTCTAAGGGGAGACACAGACTCAGGTGGAGGCTGAATGACGCAGAAAAGCAGGAGTCAGGCCTCCAGTGGTCTCAGGTGAGAACCAGGGAGAGTGTCCTGGTGCACCAGGTGCTGCAGGGTGTGAGGGAACCGCTGTGGGGTGTTTCAGGGAGAGGCTGGGTCCCTTACTGCCCTTTAGACAAAGCGGGGCTGGCGATTGAGTCACAGAATAAGGAAACCTGGGGGACTCTTCCCTCTCCTGAGCAGCAGGGGGATTCTGACACTGCCCCATTTCCCTCCTCTCCTTGTAGGAAGCGGCCCCAGCCCACAGATCCCGTCCTCTTGTACATCCCCGCCCTGATACCTGCTCGTAGCAGGGTTTCTTTCCCCTTCTCTAGGATGAGTTGGAGCCACTGCACGCACGTGTCCTCCAGGGTGATCCTCTGTCGCTCCGCAGCAGGAAGGTGCACTAACTTGCGCCTGGGGAGCGTTAGGATCTTTGTGTCCTTCCCCGTGAGTGTAGTCCAGGAGCGCATGTCCTCGTTCAGGGCGATGTAGTCGGAGCCGTCGTAGGCGAACCGACTGAAACCGCGGAAGAAGCGCCCGTCCGACCCCACGACGCAGCCGGTCATTTCCTGGAAGGTGTGGGACCCTGACCCCGCCCCGAGGTTGGTCCCCAGTTACTTAAACCCGTCCCGAGAACAGGTGTGTCCCCGACCCAACCCGTCCGGACCCCACCCGCGCTGACTGAATCTAACAGGAAAATGAAACCGGGACAGTCCTCGAGGGTCCTCTGACGATGGGTGCCGGGCGGGTCCCGAAGTCCGGGAGCAACTCCCGGAGTCCCTGGGGACGGGTGTGGTGCACGGACCCGGGCACGCGGGGCTCACCGTCCTCGCTCTGGCTGTAGTGGGCGCGCAGGTTGTTCAGGTTCGCTCTGCTCATCTGTTCGTGTTGCTTGATTTTTAGCGTGAGGCGGCCCCTCTGCGGGTCATCTAAGATCTCTACGTCCAGCTTCAGCCTCGGACTCAAAGCTTCGCTGTCGAACCGCGCGACCTCTATGTCGTCCACGTAGCCGATGCCGATGTACTTGGACCTCCAGGTACCGGGTTCAGACACGGAGCTGGTGACGATTCTCAGGCTGTGGGGTCCTGGGGGCGGGGAGGACGCGGGTGCTCGGTCCGAGGTGGTTCCTGTAGGGGCCGGGGGCCCTGGAGACCGAAAAGGGGGCGGTGGTTGAGAAGGGGGTGCGGGGGAGGGGGAGGAGGCGGAGGCGGGAGTCTGGGGTCTGGGGCCCAGAGGGCCGGTGGATGCTGGAGACCCTCCGTCCCCGGGTCCCGCGCGCCCGCCGGGTCCCCTCGCTCCTGCCCTGCACAGAGGCCGTTCCCTCCCAACCCCGCACTCACAGGCCCAGGTCTCGATCAGGAGCATTGCATGCAAGAGCAGCAGGAGCAGGGTTCCAGGGTCCATAAACCGCCAAGGCAGAAAGGGGATAAAGCATACCGCTTACCCCTTGTGGATTTTAAACCACCAAACTGACGCTGATTGGCTGCTCTAGAGTCTGCTCTCACCCAATGGGAGTGGGAACTGCGGAAGTGTTATGAATATTCAGGACCTGGGACCCGACTCCACCCTGACCCCTTTCCCCTAGGGGGAGACCTCTCTGTCCCTGCAGTCCCCCGCCCACGTGCTGTTTTAGTCATTGCGACTCTCAAAACATTTTGGTATCAGAACATCTATAGCACTCCCTACAGAATAGGGAGAACCCCCAAAATGATTTTGTTAGTGTGGGTTATAGCTATCAATATTTAGCATACAAAGAATAAAACAGTTTGAAAATTATTAATTCATTCAGAATAATATTAAAAACCCCTCACATGTTAACAGAACTAATGTTTTTATGAAAAACAACTATTCCCCAAATAACAAGGTAGTGAGAAGAATGGATCTGCTTACATTTGACATTTTTGCAAGTCTCAGTGCTTGTCTGGGTCACTAGAAGACCACTGGATTTTCAGATGTTTCTGCTTTTAATGTGTTGTTTTGGCTGTGGTATATGAAAAAGTATACAGCCTCACACAGATATGTAGGAGGAACATTTTTAATAACCTTTTCAGATAAGTGTGGATATCCATCTTTGATCACACACTAAAGCTACACAAGTGGTAGTTTCTTAAAAGCTCTTTGCAAAGTGGAACCTGAAACAAATCCATTGAATGTTTCCTACTCTGTGATATTACTTGAGTGGCTCTTGTACTGGTGCAGGATTATTTGAAAGTGATGCATCGTTTCACTAAGTGATAGAGATCCCCCAGTGTTGGTGCATTTAATGACACATCCTCAAAAATCACAACTGTTAACGTTACCGCAGACCCCACTGGAAATGGTTGTCAGCTCTGGGAAGCTGTCTGGCTGCCATGGGGAGACACACGTTTGCCAGAAGCCTGGTTTTCCCCTGAGAGCTTCCATCCCATCCAGACAAGTGCTGTCAGGTGTCAACTGTCCCTTGACTCTTCTTGAGGGAGAAGTTCACGTTCATTTGAGAGAGTGTTCACCAGTTCACCACACTTCAGTCATCACAGGTTCTGTGTCTCTCATTCTCTTAAGTGAACTTGCTGTTCCATAAAGAAGAGGCTGGCTCAGCCCTCACAGGTCACTTTCCTGGGTTCATGGCACTTGGGAATGAATGCAGCAGCAGTGTGTTGTGCACTTTCCCAGTCATCCCAGGAGATATTTTACATTTTTATTCTCCATTTTCATTAAGAACAGTTAAGAAATTAATCCATTTGTATAATGAATTCAAGATATATTTATCTTCTTTTAAAATACATTTTATTTTCAATTACAGTTGATCTACAATATTAAATTGGGTTCTGTACAACTCTGTTTACGTATTTATGTAAGGTACAAACTGATCACCCCAATAAACCCAGTACCCACCTGACACCATTTGTAGTTATTACAGTATTAATGACTGTATTCCCTGTGCTGCACTTTACATCCCATGACTGTTCTGTGACCACCAGTGTGTCCTTCTGAATCCCTTCACCTTTTTCTCCCAGTCCCTCCAGTCCCATACCATCTGGCAACCAGCATCTGCTCCATGAATCTGTGAGTCTGTTTCTGTTCTGCTTGATTACTTTATTTTTCATAATCCACATAGAAGTGTAATCACCTGGCATTTGTCTTTCTCTCACTCACTTATTTCACTCAGCACAATGTGTTTCATTCCTATAGTTGCCAATGACAAACTTTCATTATTTTTAAGGCTGAGTTATATTCCATTGTACACATGCACCACTTCTTGATCAAATCATCTGTTGATAGACACTTAGGTTGCTTCCATATCTTGGCCTTTGTAAATAATGCTTCAGTGAACATATGGATGTGTATGTCTTTTTGATATCGTGTTTTGCTTTTTTTTTGGATAAATACTCAGAAGTGGAATGGCTGGGTCTTTCTTTGTCACTTGGTATAGCCTTTGTTTTAAAGTCTGTGTTTTCTGGTATAAATATTGCTACTCCAGCTTTAATTGTTTGTTTCCATTTTCATGAAATATCTTTTTCCATCCCTGCGCTTTCAGACTGTGTTTGTCTTCCTATCTGAAGTGGGTCTCTTATAGACAGCACAGGTAAGGGTCTTATTTTCTTATCCATTCAGTCATCACATGTCTTTTGATTAAAGCAATTAATTCATTTGCATTTATACTAATTTCTGATAGATATGTATTTGTTGCCATTTTATTATTCATATTTGTTTTATTTTTCTTCTTCTCTTTAGTGATGACCCTTTACATTTCTTGTACTACTGCTTTGGTGGTGATAAACTCTGTTAGCTTTTTCTTATCTGGAATGCTCTTTATTTGTCTCATTAAAAATGATAGCTCATTGGTTCTCATTGCTTTGAGTATTTCTTGTCAATCTCTTTAGACCTGAAGAGTTTTGTTGTCATCTTACCATCTTATGGGTGCTGCGTTGTCCATAATTAACTGCTTGTATCTTGGTGCTTTTAAAATTCTCTTTGTCTTAAACCTTTGTCATTTTCTTTCATGCTTTTTAAAAACTTCTCATTTTAACCTTTGTCATTTTCATTATGTTGTTTCTTGGAGTGGGCTGCTTTGGGTTTATCTTGTTTGGGACTCTGCAATCTGGACTTGTATGTCTACTTTTTCACCAGTTAGGGAAATTCTCTGTCATTGCTTTTCAAATAGGGCTTCCTATTCCTTGCCCTCTCTCTTCCCTTCCAGGCACCACCACGATGCGAATGTTGGTATGCATGAAGTTGTCTGAGAGGCTCCATATGCTCTCCTCAGTTTCTTTCCTTCCTTCCTTCCTTCCTTCCTTCCTTCCTTCCTTCCTTCCTTCCTTCCTTCCTTTCTTTCTTTCTTTCTTTCTTTCTTTCTTTCTTTCTTTCTTTCTTTCTTTCTTTCTTTCTTTCCTCTCTCTCTCCCCCTCTCTCTCCCTCCCTCCCTCTCTCCCTCCCTATCCCTTCCTACCTCCCTCCTCTCTCTTTCTCTCTCTCTCTCTCTTCCTCTCTCTCTGTTCTGATTGTGTGTTTTCTGGTTCTTTATCTTCCCAATTTCTGATTTCATCCTGTGCTTCATCTATTCCACTGTTGATTCTCTATAATATATTCTTCATTACACTTATGGTATTTTTCATTTCTAATGTTTCCTGTCCCCATTTTTATGTGTCCTATCTCTTTATTGAAGTTCACACTAAGTTCATCCACTCTGCCCCTAAGTTCATTCAGCATCCTTACAACCAGTGTTTTGAATTCTGCATCTGGTTGATTGCTTGCCTGAAATTTGGTTAGTTCTTTTCCTGGAGTTTTGTTCTGCTCTTTCATTTAGGACATGCTTCTCTGTCATCATTTAGTCTGCCTTCCTGTGTTTGTTTCTATTGTGAGGTAGAGCTGCTCTGTCTCCTCATCTTGGTAGTGTGTCCCCATGCAGTTGGTGTCCTGCAGGGCCCAGGGGTGCAGTCTCCTTGTTCACCCAACCTGGGCAATCCTTGTGTCTACCTCCCTCGCTGTGTGCTGTGTGCACCCTCCTGTTGCAGTTGAGTTATGATTGCTATCTTGACACAGACATTTCTCTTTTAGGACTTTATCCTAAGAAGATAATCACACATGTTCTCAAATATGTATATGCAAATATGTATATGTATATATATATGCAAGGGTGCTTCTTGTATTGTGGTCTTATAAAAGAAAAAAGATGGATTGTCTCTAAATGCTCCAATCAATAGAATGATGGTAACTGTTGATGGGGAGCTCAGGAGTTGAGAAAATTTTAGTGTTAGGTAGCAGTTACTAAGCTTAGTAATCAAGACCTGTAAAAAACTATTGTTTCAGGCACTGAAGGGACCACCCACCTGAACCCAGGTAACAGAGGGATTCCATCTTTGTGCCCCAGGGGGACTGCAAGGGATCCAGATCATATCTGAGCCTTGTGCTCCAGGGAGGCACAGCCACCACCCAGGACACAGATAAAAAATCACAGGTCAACAGATGAAAGAATGCTAGGAAAACTGCTTTTATAAGATTAACATTTTCCCTGATGACAACTGTGTAGTTTGGCTTCTGTGGCCTGAGGAGCAAATTAAAGGTCAAACTAGAATTTCCTTGTAGCATTCCAGCAAGGCAGATTTAAGAAATAATCATGATTGATTACTACTTTTTAAAAGAGATTTTATTTATCTATTTTTAGAAAGAGGGGAAGGGAGGAAGAGATGGAGAGAAATATCCATGTGTGGTTACCTCTCCCGCTCTCCCTAATGGGCACCTGGCTCACGACCCAGGTATGTGTCCTGAGTGGGAACTGAACCAGCGACCCTTCAGTTCACAGGCTGGCACTCAATCCAATGAGCCACACCAGCCAGGGCTCAATTACTATTCTTGTTGTGTTTGTGCAAATAATTAGGCAAAATTAACACTGGACTTAATGCAGTCTCTTTGATAAAAAAAGAGGGCAAATTTAAAGAAGAAAATTGTATTTCTATGCAAATCATATAACACTCAATTTTAGGTCTTGGGATGCACTTAAATTCTTATTTTTCACCTACAAACTAAATTGGATCCTGAATTTTTCTAGTTTTCTTTCAAACAAATGTTTCATTTTTCTTTCATCCTTTGACTTGGGATTATTGAGAACCGCTGATGCAATGCCAGCCATACAGAATTCACCTGCGTACCTGATGACATCACCAGACATTTAAACTGCACACAGGGAGGATCTGTCACACTGTCACTGCTCACTGTCATTCCAGCAAAGGCCTTGCTTTGGAAGTCTTCTCCTCTGACTGCCTTGCAGACTCAGAAACTGGAGAGGACTTTCTGCATTCATTAACCCCTGTGTTCTTCCTGTTTTCATAGGGGCACATGCCAATGACCTTGTTTACCTGACTGCTTGTGTCCACACTAGAGGCCTCTCTAGAAAAGCCTGTCAGCATCTCCACCTCCTGAAATGAGACTCGGTGGTTTGACTGGATGGGCTTGTTGTCAGGACTAGATGTGAGACAGGAGAGTAAGGAGGT